ACGCTACATCTTGAAAAAATGTTACATGTTCAATGCCCAATCAACGGACGGAGAAAGCTCCTCGTCTTAGAGCTTTACCTTTTTCTTCATTGTTCTCGAAGAGATCTGATGTCTTGAAGTATTTCACTGGTCAGATGCTATGTAGTAACAATGATTGTATTTCTGTGGACCATTTCTCGGTCATTATCACGCACTAGTACTTATCGATTCATACTCAAAATGGCCTGAAGTGTTTCTAGCCAGATCGCCAACTACATCGTTTGTGATGCGAGTACTACGAAAGTGTTTCAGTCGAGAGTGTGTTCCTCAAGCATTGGTGACTGACAGTGGGTCGCAATTCTGCGCTGCGGATTTGAAAACGTGGCTGGACAGTATTAGCTGCCGACATCTGCGCACAGCACCACGTCACCCCTACTCGAACGGTGCAGCAGAAGATGTAGTGAAAACAGTGAAGGGTGTCATTTCCACTGCAAATCCAAGGACAATTGCAGAGTTGGAGATACTCCTAGACAACTTCCTACTGCAATACCGGAATGACGCACATACTACTACCAAAGAGAGCCCAGCGAAACTGTTCAAATCCAGAAGCTCACGTTCCTCATTACGATGCGTGGATTCGAGTGACGTCGTATACTTCCGAGGAAACGACTTGAGACCATCAAGAGGAATCATTACCCGCAAGAGTGGTCAAGCTATGGTCGAGATCACAGATCAGACATATGCGACGGTTCATCGACGCCACATCGACCAAGTTCACTTCAGCGAAACTTCCACTTTGAAAGAAGCTCCTGTCGAAAAAATTCCAGGAACTCTGTCAACACCTACTGAAGATTAAAGGCAACAGCCCTCTATTCGGGGGATGTCTACCAATGAGAATACCCGACTGGCCCTCCGACGACCAATCAGGAGAGCAAGCCAATTTGACGAAACTCTCTTGAGGGAGGAGAGTTGTGGTGATCCAGGCCTACACGATGGCGCCTACCCTGAAGCGGGGCGTTACAGTTTCAGGACATTGGCTATCAATCAAGTTTGAACGCTGACGTCAATGACACGTGCATGGTTTCTGAATACACGTCATTGGTGGATGGTGCCAGCCAATCCAAGACGATGAGGACACATGCAAAATTATGCAAGCAGTACTGCAATTAAATTGGTGGAAGCCCAGATAGCCAATAATCTCCCTTTGTACATATTAATTAATCACCTTCATTTCTTCTAATAAACGAACTATTTACTGCCAGTCCTGTGGCCTTTTCCTCGCGTCTCGTTCTCGTGGGACATTGCAAATACGTGCATCCATGCCATTGTGGTCCAGTGCTTCTGCGATCCAGTCCGTGATAGCTGATTATCGATTCGGGTCCTGTAATTCATATTGCGTGGTTGGTGTTCCGAATTCCG